CAGAGGGTGTATCTGTCTGGTGTGTCCCGTGAGAACAGGGCCATTCTTTTGGTGGCCTGCAGGAGCCTCTCCAGACAGAGGCTTCCTTGTTATGACAGGTAGCTTTCTGAGCATTTCAACAGATGCTTGGGCATGCCAAAAGCATAAAAGCATTTGGAAAGGGAACGTGCAGAATATTTCAACTGCGTTTCTTAAAATAAATGCCATGGCTTAAATAATAGAAGTTTTCCTCACTGACTGTAGAATAACCACTGAAGCTGAAATAGTGTTTGAGTTATTGGATGTGGCGCTTGCAAAATTTCCTCAAAATTTAGTAACTGTAGGAAGGTTTGGGGAGGTTTTGCTTTATTTTTTTCCTACTGCTTATGTTCAAAACACCTCATCTCCTTCTGCTCATCGTTTCCAAGTCTGTTTAATTCCAATTGGCAGATTTAATAGATGTGTACCAGGAGCACATTTGGAATCCAGGCAGCCTCAGTATGCTCACGTCTGTGATAAACCAGAGGTCATGATAGCTGTAGGACTGAATCAGATAGTACCTTGTTCGTGGCTGTGAGGGGTGACAGCCCTGTTTCCCTCACACTTCACTGGCCACTGGAAGATTCCTGGCATTCAGTGCCACAGCATCTGGACACAAGAAAACATCCAGCCCCAGTGCATCTCCCTGGGGAAAGGCTGGAGTTTGCTTTGGCACCCTGCACTGAGATGAGCAGCAGCCTACTGGTGAGAATCGAGACCTGTTGGTGGGAGACAGCGATGGGAAAGCGATGACAGAGAGGTGTAGGAATCCCAGGGAAGGCTTGATGCGGTGGCTCAGCCGGTGCAGCCTTTTCCCTCACTCTTGCATAAGAGGATGTAAGGTGATGAAGAGCTTAGCTGTGATCAGTCCTGTTCTGGTGTTAATTACAGTGACTGCATCGCTTTTGATAGAATTAGAGGAGTGTGTAATAGGCCTGCAATTAAGTCTGATTTTGATCTCAGCAGCTTCAGACAATAAAAATGAAAATGTCATTTGAGATGAGTTCAAGTATTTTTAACAGTGTTCCTCAAAGAGGAAAAGAGCAGAGTAGTCAGTGTTTGGTCAGAACAAGAGAATATGACCTATTTTCATTTCAAAACCAAACACTTGGCCACACAGTTCTTATCTGCATATTTAAGTCTTTCCTGCATCTTTCCTTTGTACCAAACCAGGTGACTGCTGTATCACTGCCTTTATTTGGGAAGGGAAACTCATTCAGAAACATTGTGCTCCTGGTCCTTTTTTGCAGCTAATTCTTTTTACAGTTTCACGGCAGGGGAAAGTACACCTCTTTCCACTTGGATCTATGTATTGCCAAGGAAAGCATGCCTGGTAGGAAAGACATATCCTTTATTATGAATGCTGTAGCTGAGAGCACCTTTGTCACCCATACTCAACCGCTGAGTTATTAGGAGCTTTGGACTGTGTTACACGGAGAAAAAGATAAAAATAGGATGTCTGACGCATGCATCCCATGTTGCACGCCAGGAAACTGAATCGCTCTTCCACCTAGTACAGTACCCCAGAGCATACATGGAAAATATGCATGGATATGAACATGCGAGATCTTTCCTCACCAAGAAAAATGCTCAGTCACCCTTTTTTCCCATCCCATTTTACATTGATCTTGTTTGATATTCCCTTTGACTGCTGGCAAACCTAACAGCCTAAAGTCCCACAACTGTGCTTTTACTGCCACTGCTTCTCACTGATAAACCTGTATCCCATGTTTTGAGGGAACTGTGAAATATTCTTACTGCATCCAGCTGACAGTAAGCAGGATCTGGCCCATTCAGCAGACATCTGCAGCGTGCTGAAAACTCCCGAGGCTCAGCACTGTCTGTCACGGAAATAATGCATTGGGTGCATAGTCTAAAATAAGTCATTCACTGTATGTGCCCCTTTAAATGTTAATCCTTGCATCGCTTTCTTTTATTGCTTCTGTTGGCATACACGATTATGTGACATAATATAAAAGTAAATAATGTGATGCAATGGCTAAAGCTCAAAAGGAAATACAAATTAGAGATCAGAACACAGAATCTTCCTAACACAGAATACGACATAAAACTTACAGTGATGTGACTGAATTTTTCTTATTTTGAGGGCAGCAAAATCGAGCATATAGCAATTACATGAATCTTTCTGGATGTTTCTGGCACTTTCTAAGTCAGGGAGTAAGTGACTTTGGGTAATAGATCCAAAATAAAGTATGGCTCTGCTCTAGGACAGGGCCTTTAAAAAAAGCAAACATAAATTCAGCTTGACGATTACAAACTTTAAAAAACAATGCAAAACATGCAACTGAGATCTCATTATTTATTTTCCAGCATGAGAACACTTTTCATGGAAAGGCAGGTGTGCAAAGCTGAGGTGTTTGATTGCCTCTGGTAGGAAACCTGTGGGAAAAGCGCAAGCTGAGGCTCAGCAGTAGGTTACAAACTATGGCAGCAGGCAAGTTCAGATTTAAAAATAAAGCCTGAAATAGCAGAACCCAATGCAAGACCAACATTTCTGGTCCTCTTTGCCCATGTTCAGTAAAACATATGGGTACCTTGGTGTGCGATTTTGCTTTTGCTGAATTGAGGTTTGAGTTACTCGCTAGTCTATTTTTACATTTTAAGCGTCCTTGTAACTCAATATGTGTTTGTTTTAATTTTACACTCTCCATAAAAAGCATCCTCCATGACGACTTGGAGAAGTGACCGCTGGCAATGCATAGAAATTTATTTGCCTGGCATGTCACACTGTCTTACTTTTTCCCCTGCAAACCCATGTGCTGGTCTTGACCAAAAATACCCTGGGATACCTTGTGTCTCCTCCCTTACCTTAGCTTTGCTGCTGAGGCTCTGGAAGTGGTGAGGCAGGGAAGATCAGCTTGGGACAAATCCAGGTCACTCCACCAGCCCTGCTCACACACACCGTTGGAATTAATGAGCAGCCAGGCTGTCATGGCTGGGGGAACAGGGTGGTGATGAGTAGGACAGTGGCTTCCCTGTGGCCACTGACTGTACCAGGAGCACACCTATGATCACCCACCTGCAGCTCAAGCTGCATGTCTGTCTCTGAGCGGAGAAAGCCAGGAGTCCCTCTTTTTGCAGCATAGTGCTAATGTGTGTGTCAGGGACCATAGGAGGGGGTGTTCCATGTAGAGCTGGAGGGAGGTTCATAGCATCCTACTGAAGGCAGCATACAGGCATGGCTCTGCTTTTCTCTCTCTCTTGTTATGCTGATAGTGCAGATTATCAAACTGCTACTAATGTGTTTCCAATTTTACAGTTCTGGCATGGAACCCTCATATCAATCATATCATATCATAATCATATCATATCATGTCACAACCCCCTGGCTCTGAGCTGCCTTCATATGATGTCTCAGGAATGCAGAGCTGATAAAATAATGTAGAAAAGCTAAAAATGAGCCTTCTCTTCCTCCTATCCCTGCATCCTTCCAGCATTCATGTGCCTTAGGTAAGGATATAAAATTGCTGCACCAAATCAAACAAAAATGCTTCTGTTCTCTTTGCTTTTCTGACCAAAGTGTGGGGTGAAAAATTTACGGTGTGCCCAATTGTCGATGGAAGATGTGTCTAGGCTCATTGTCCTCCCTTCCTCATGCATTGGTCACTTTGGTATCTGAAACTTTGCCACTGTGAATTGCTGTTGCCATTCAGCATGTTTGATAGTGGAGGGAGGGCTTTGGGCCTGTTAGCACCCACCAGAATTTTGCTGGGTGCAAGGAGTAACAGTGATTCAATATCTTTGTTTTTAATAGCATTCCTGATATCAGATGGTACAATACCTTTGAGAGTTAATATGAAAATGATTTGTAAGGAGTGTGAAAATTTAAGGAGAGTGAAAATAGACGAAATACAAATTTAAGCAGCATTTGATATATGGGTTTCACCACTTGTTTTCAGCTTTATTTAGCTTTGAACTTGCAGCTACCTTAAAACTAGCATTGCTCCTTACCAAATTGTGGTAAGTTTTGAGTTTCTGTATTCAGTGATGGTGAATAACTCATGCCCAAACCCACATGAACATTCACAGTGGAACCTAAACCTACAACAAAGTGAGTAGGTTTGCTCTGGGGTGGGGCATCTCCTGGGACAGTGCACCTTGCCCACGTTCCTGCCTCCTATGGTTGCTGCATCTTCCCTTCCCTTGGGACAAAACTTCACCACTAACCCCTGTAAGAGAACTGGTTTTGTGAGACTCATTTCCCAATGTCAGGTGGCAGCCACAAGTGGGACGTTGTCTGGGGACTCCACAGCAGTGGGAACCATGAGTAGCTACTACAGGAGATGGTACAGATGAGGTCAGGCTCTGCTTCCTCCACATCCTGTGGCAGAAATAACTCTTGTTGTCATCAGAGCAGTCACTGTAATGTGGATGAGGTTCAACCGAGGCCCAAGAGCTTCAATGAGATTTTTGTGTGATTATAACAAGAATTTGACACACATGGTGAGCTGCTAATCGTGTATATGTGATCTGTCCCCATGCTGTCCCAGGAGGTATTTACCAGCATAAAAATCAGCTAATGAGGTCACAAGCAGCAGACTGCTGCCGCATGAGAGATGTCCAAGGAAGCATGGGGATGGGTGAGCTGTGTCCTTTCCCTCTGCAAACTCTGTCAGTTTTGCATCCCTCAGTACTGTGAAGGAACATCAAGTTCATTGTGTTTTTCTGCTGAACACTGCAGCAGAATTTATGCAAAGTTTTCTGTGGATGTAGCAGGAGTACTCAAAAGCTCAGCCCATCTAAAGTGCCTCAGGTCCTTTAGGATAATGAGACATTTTGTGAGTGCACCTTTTTATTGTACCAATATTACATTACAGGAAAAATGGAAGGGGGGAACTTAACGCATAGCACCTGTCACAGGTTCTCTCCTTGAATTAGGCTCTCCTGCTTATAAAACTTTAATTGATTCCTAGCAGTTTATGTGCATGGCGCTCAGTGGGCATTTTCTGTTCTCTTGCCAGCTCCATGGTTACTTAGAAAGCGAGCCGCTCACGCTGCAGCTATTCATTGGGACTGCAGACGACCGCCTGCTGCGACCCCATGCCTTCTACCAGGTTCACCGGATCACCGGCAAGACCGTTTCCACCACCAGCCATGAAACAATACTTTCCAACACCAAAGTCCTGGAAATCCCTCTTCTTCCAGAGAACAGCATGAGAGCAATGTAAGACCAAGGCACCATGTCTGACTCCTAGCAGTTTTGTCTTGGTCAACCAATTTAATTTCTTTGGGGTTTGTTCCTTTCTTTCTGTACACAATTTTCCTTTCCCTATCTTTTTTTTCTTTCCCTACATTTCTCTCTGTAATAGTAGGTTTCCACAACGTTGCTGAGACAAATTGCCACTAATCAGCTTAACAGCAAAACAAACTGCACAAATATTTATGACAACTGATTTGCTTTCATTCTAGAGTTTCAGCCAATGTGCTTATTTGCCATTTAAAATAAGTATCTCGGTTACTGAGCTGTAAATATCTCCTACCTCAGCTCCTGCATTTAGTTTCTAAATATGACACCTGTTGCTCCTATACGCACTAGCACAAGGAACAGAGCTGATTAAAATTTATCTTTGGATGTCAAAGGAAACTCTTAGAGAGCATTTCCAAGTACCCTTGCTGTTTTTCTGAGACGAATGAAACCACTCATTTCTCACATAATAAAACTCAGCATTTTTCATGGCACTTGCTTACAAGCAAATCTTCCAGAACTAAGAGTTACCTCTAAAAACCTGTATTCAAAGTTGATGCAGTTTACAGATTGAATTGTTAAACTGGGCTAAGTTTAGTGCCATGCAGAAAACTAGGCATGGTTATCTTAGGATATCTGGGTGATAATTAAGTGCCCTGTATGTCCATTAAGCATCTGTACACATCGTTATATGATGTTATATAAAGGTTAAAATTGCGTTCTATGTAAGTGATATACAGCAAACCTTTCACACTATTTTATCCTATCCTCTCTGTACCCCTCCCTCAAATCAGCCTACCCCCTGAGTTGTCTCCTCCCTTCATTCAAATCATCCTAACCATTATCTGAGGTGTTTGTCTTGGGAGGAATTTCTGTGTGCTTGCGTGCAAGTACAGCTCTTGGTGTGTGTAGAAATATAAATGTATTCATATTTATATATAGATGCATGCACCTATAGAAAGATAGAAAGCAAGCAAGAAATCCTGACCTCCACCAAACCAAATACCACAGGAAAATCACAATTTCACTCCTTGTTTTTCATACAGTTTGCCTTGCTTTAACGAAGTGGAAAATGCTGTCAGACACCTAAAGTCCTTCCACACATAGTGGTTATTAGAAGCTGGTTTGCAGTGTCATGTACAACATGCCCTGGAGTGCCTCATGTAAATAGAAGAGCCAGAATATGTTTAGCTGAATTGCCAGCTGGGCTTAGAGTAATCACTCAAGACCTGAGGATCTCTCTCTCAGTGCATTGTGTTAAAAGTCACGACAAGCCTTCAGAATTATTGGCCCTGTTTGCTGCCATCGTATGTTAGTGGGGCTGCATTGGGGTTAAGGAAATTTCACCAATTTGTACCCACACAATATTTATCTGGCACTTTATTTATCCAGTTTGAATCATGTTTTTTGGCCATCTAGGAACTTTATTACCATTTCATTCATCTTTCTCCCTGAAATAAAGGTAAGTTACATAGTTTGGGAGCCAAGCTGAATATTTTTGTGGCATGTATGCCAGACTGTGGTACAGCTCACTCAAGGATCACAAACAATGCTTTGGCATATATAGGCCTTACATGTCAGTAGTCTGAAACCTCATGTAGGACTACCAATGAATTGAAATTTGGAGCCAAGGACTTTCCTCACACTTTACATGTTCAGGCCTTGATTCAGGGAAACACCAAAGCTCATCTGCCCATTTAACTTTTGCACATTTAGCTGTTCCTATTGACTTCAGATTCCAATGTCCATGACTTTACAAGCTTGAATTTAAATACTTTTTCTTCTCTGAACATTTGAGTATGAGTTGTACATACACATGAGTTGTACACAGTTTACAAGTGTTGCTGTAGGAGAGACAATATGGAGAAATGCACCATCTCTTCCATAACTTACGGATCTTTGCATAGAATTTTGACATGGATACAAATACTCTGTATTCTTATGCAGACTATAAGAATTTATATGTAATTCTTATATAATTCTTACGGCTTCACCTGCTAATAAGTATTGTTGGGAATCTTTAATACTTTCATTAGTTTCTTTGATCATATCAGCAAGGGCATTTTTTAAGTTCTGAAATCCATACTTTAGAAAAAATGCAGATCAAAACTGTGCTGTCATAGTGTTTATTTGCAGTTTGCTTGAGAAGAAGAGCTTCAAAGGTCTAGAGGGGGAATTAAACTCTTTGAATGCAAAATAAAGTTAACTATGCATACTCAATGTAATAAAATGCATGCCAGAGACCAGTACCCAGAAGAAATTGCCATGTAGCCTTTGTAGTCATGGCCAAGGCAGAGGTATTTTTGCAGTGGGTTTTTCAGTGCATATGTTTATATGTCTTTTGCTCTGGGAGCTTCTTCTGTTGAAATATTCTTTGACAAAAATCCTGGCTCGTAAACTCATCCAGGAGAAAACCAAAGTTAAAAAACTAAAAAAGACAGTGAGGCCAGAAATTGTAGTAGTTGTATCTGATGAAAAGCATGTTTTTCCCTAATGTGAGGAGAGGACTCTGAGTTTAGTTTTTTTCATGCAGAGCTTCAGCTCAGCGCTAAGCTTGGGAGTATTTCCAATTCATTGAAATACAAACAAACTGACAGTAGAACCGACCTCAGGGAGAGCTTTTTTGCTCATTAATAAGAATTTCAGGACTTCACCCTAGACTGAAAATCTTGTCAGATTTTTTTCTAAATTAGTTATAACAAGTAAAATTTTAAGTAGCCTGGCATTCTAGGTTAGTAACAGTTTCTGCACTTCTGTCACATCCCACTGGCTTTCCTAGTCTTGCTGTTTCTTTGGGCTTTGGCTTATCTTTAACTACAGGATGTGTTGGGGAGGAAGGGTCCTTTAGATTTTCTTCCTCTGAGACCTGAGGTAGCATCCTAAATTTGTGTTCTTACAGCAGCAGTCACTACCTGCTGCTACCAATAGCCCCAGCTCAGCCTCTTGGGAGTGCAAGTACTAAACAAAGTCTGCTGCACTCAGCCTGGTCATTGGGCTGTGCCTGATGCAGTTTTTTAAGAAGAGCATGCAGGAGAGAGATAAGATACGCACACTCGCGTCTTCCTGAAGTCTTCTTGAAGTGAATTTAATTGCCCTGTGTTTCCTTTTGGATAGCATCGACTGTGCTGGGATATTAAAGCTCCGAAACTCTGACATCGAGCTGCGCAAGGGAGAGACGGACATCGGTCGTAAGAACACGCGTGTGCGTCTGGTCTTCAGGGTTCACATCCCACAGGCCAATGGCAGGACCCTCTCCTTGCAAGTAGCCTCCAACCCCATTGAGTGCTGTAAGTAGCAACAAACATCCTCCTCTTGCTGGATATTATCAGAAAATCTTTTAATCAATAAGGTTGAAGAAGATGTCCAAGATCACTGTTAACTCAGCACTGCCATGTCCACACACCTTTTGAACAGTTTTTAACTTTTCTGCCCCATGTGCATTCTGTCCTCACCAGCACGTTCTACATTGGTTTTGCTTTACTTGTCTAGTTAGTGAACTTTATTCTGCTTTCCAAAAGTACATGATTTACATTGAGAACAGAATATCTGTGTCTTAGGAAAAAATGTGTAGTTTTGTGCATTGAGTGCTGTAGAAAAACACACACAAGTAAAGAACAGTTAAACTAATAGTAGACCTGGGAGGGACAGGGCCTTTGGTTTTGGTGACTCCTTATCATAAAGGTAACTGCTGTAGAAGTTTTGGAAAACATCTCTCATGTTCTGTTCACTCTGTTTCTCCATCATAAAGCAAAAAACCAGCAAACAAAACCCCAGCCCCTTTGATAAGGAGCTAGCAATATCCTAGAACTGACGCACTGGCCTGCACCTTCAGAAAACCTCCAGAAGCCAGGTTTCTGCACTGGGGTCTCTTTAAATGAACAGCCTGTATTTTATCAGATACACTGGGACACTCTTCAAAGATACCTATATCATTTTTGCTCTCTAAGCCTCATCAGCCTCCCCCACACAAAACAAAATGTATCTGTTTTGTGTAGCTTTAACAGTCCAGCATAAGTGGTGGAAGCTGAATTTCAGTCTAACTCCCAATGCTATTTTGATTGGCTGGATGGACTGAAACAATTTTTTAAGATTTTGTTGAATTCCATTCACAAAGTGGATCTTTTTGATGCTGACAGAGTAAGGGGGGAAACTTGATATCTGGCAGGTATGTGAGGGGTGAGCTCTGGCAGAGGGAATGGGAAGGAAGGCCTGACCATTCCTAGCTCCATTCATGCTGGAGGGCAAAGCAAAACATGTAAGGAGTCATGGTTTCATCCTGCAGTTGTTTATGAGAGCTTTTCAGTTGCTACATAGCAGGATAAGGCACAGTTTGAATCTATCCTGAACTGGTCTGTGCAAAAGTGCCAAGCTCAAGGAACCACTAAATGTGAAGCTGGTTGGATTTGTGTCAGGGTACTGCTGCCGCTTTGAGTGTTGCATAATGAGCAAAAGCATGGCACATGCCTGCTGAAAGAAGTGGAAAACAGGAGAAAAAATAAGTGCTAGTGGTATTTCTAGCGCAGATTGTGGAATAAGTTGGTGCCAAAAACTTCGTGCATTTCTTAGTGCATGTGACACCAGAAGGAACCATATAATCTGGATAAAATGCCCCATTGTCCCTTGAAGCAGCACTCTCTTCACGTCCCACAGTTGAGGGGGGGTAAAATTTTTGCCACAAGAATACCAGATTCAGTTTACATGATCCTGTGTGCTTGGGCCCTCAGGTTCATTTGGAAGTACTCTTTCTAAAGTGTGAGCTGCTGCTGGATCACAAGGGCCATATCTGCTGCTGCTGCTACAAGACAGTTCGCAGAATTGACAGTAGGGTATCTGTTGACTGAAACAAATTTTGGACATGCATGATTACCTTGTCATGTATGCCTTGTAAACACACAGCATATAAAGTGAGACAAAATTATTTAAAAGAAATGAATTTCCATTAAAATACACTTTCTGATATACTACATATCAAGCTGAGTTTTAAAACACTTGTTCTTTGTGAGTCTTTTCAATCTGTACTGCTCTTTAACACTATTGTTTACAATCAAAGCACTTGAAAATGAACCATGTTTCCTGTAAACCTTGTGACCTTTCTTTGTTTCTGTATCAAACTCAGCTTATCTTATGAACGTAAGCATTAAGTTACTTACTAATACAGTATTTACTTTCTTGTGTGTCCGTGGTTGCCTTTTTTTTTAAATCTTCTTTGTAACTCTCCAGCTCAGAGATCTGCCCAAGAACTGCCTCTGGTTGAGAAGCAAAGTACCGACAGTTTTCCTGTTACTGGAGGGAAAAAAATGGTACTGACTGGTCATAACTTTCTGCAAGACTCCAAAGTCATCTTTGTGGAGAAAGCACCAGGTATGTCTTTTCGATCTAGACTCCAATCTGCCTTCCCCCACACCGTGTTTGTGTCAAATGATGAAAGCACAAATATGGTAATGACATTTTCTTCTGCACGTAATATGTTTTCCATGTCACTGGGCAAAGCTGTGGAAAGGATCTGAGCCGTGCCTAATGCTGAGGTTTCACACTGTGACAACTGTAGTTACAGGTAGACAATAGAGACATTGAAAGTCAACCTTTGGCATTTGTTTATTGTAGCAAATCATGAGTGTAGCAGGCAGGACCTGCGAAAGGGGTTGGAAATCACTGGCACCATATCCCCCTAAAGCCTGCAGTGCAGTGCATCTTCTTAAATATTTCTGTAATTTGTGCTGCTGCAGGTGTGTGTGCACCTGTGTCTCCTGTGGTATTTACAAGGTGCTGGCCTAGGAGGACTTGGAGCACACACAGTCATTTGAAGGACAGGTTTACTTTGAGGACTGAGGGAAGGACTGAACACAACTTCCCCTTGCCCAGCACTGCTCCTGCAGTGCTGTGGTGGTGAGACTGGTTCCCCTGGAGAGGAGTCGCAGGCCAGGCTGAAACAGGGAAAATGGCATGGAGTGGGAGCTGGGGCTGGGGCAGGCTGTGCCTGCAGGAGCGGTGGATCACAGGGTGACAGTGCCTAATGGGTGTGAATGCCCCCCGCAGGAATTAGCGGTGGCAGTGGAGCTGGGAGTCCAAGTCAGCCCTGAAACGAGACTGCTAAGGATAGTTCTGAGTCTTGTTTTGGAAAGGGTTTCCCTGGCGCTGGCACAAGCCATAAATTCCTCAGCTGCTGGCTGAGCCCCCCACCCCCACCCCAACTTAAAACAATCTTGGGCACTCCTCAGGCCACTGCACCAGCTTTGACACTGTGCCTGTTTAACCCTTTATGCCCACGAGGTTCCCTCACTGCTCCCCTGCCCACAGCCCCTGCCGGCACCACAGGAACTTGGGCCATGGGGCAGGACAGCAGGGAGAGCAGGGGAGGCTCTGGAGGCAAAGACACCCAAGTCTTTGGGCTTAGCAAGCTCAGGACAAAAGCAGAAGACTCCCCTGAAATTCCCCAACAGAACCCTGGGTTCATGAAGTTTAAGTTGTCAGAAGTGCCTGGGCAGAGGTAATGCCTTGGGTTTTTGGGGAGAGCCAGTTGGCGCATTTCTGTGGACCCCAAGCACTGCAGCACACACAGTGGGGATGTGGCTGTGACATCAGCAGAAACATCCTTTTTGTTTCATAAGAAAGTTTTAAAAAATAGGGAAAACGTGGTATAGCAATTGAAAAAAACCTGAATTCTGTTCTCTGCGTTCCCCCCACAGGAGAAGAAAGTTAATGTCTACTTTACTTTAAACTTCCTTTGCTGCACAGAACAGGATTAGTGTGACATGTCAGAAGTCCTCGATCTGTCTCATTACAAGAAGGAAACCACATTAAAGGGTGCCTTCCTTAATACTTATTTCCTTTCCTCTTCCTTTGTTGAGTTGGAAAATTTTAAGTATAGCTTTCCGAAGGATTGTGATTGTGTTGCTCTTTGCTGTGTGTGTTACCACACCGTGAATCTGAACACTGTCTCCCTACTCCTATCTTCCTATACTACATTAGGTACACTTAGAGCAGGATATTCACTGTATAGCTTTCAATTACAGAATTTAGGGTTCTGACTTTTTTTAGTAGTCTCACTGTGCATTTATTGCAGTTGCAGGTCAGTAGCCCTTGGAGGGCTGAGCCCTTGGAGGGCCTGCAGGGGCTGAGCCCTTGGAGTCAGAGTGTAGTATCTCCAGGAGCTGCAATAATTGTGTCAGTAGAAATGACACACAAAAAGCAAAGCTGCTGGCTAATCTGGGCTGAGCAATTTTTAAGGCTTCCATGGTTTGTGTGCTGTACTGCCTCACACAACTCAATGTATCAGAAGCAAACAAGAGCAATGTATCATTACCTTAGTGGCAGACTGCTCTGGCTGGATTTTTGAACAGTCGCTGTATTTAATGTCAAATGAACAAGGATTAGCAGCCTTCACTTTTGTAAATCAGCATGGGGTGTTTCTTTCCCTTTCAGCTCTTGAACATCAGTGAAAGTAGGTCAAGAGAAGGAACACCAGCATAGTTTCTCTTTCTCTTAGAGCACTGGTTATGAACCTCTGTGATTAGCTGGAGACATTCATTAGTTTTGCTGCTGTTACCACTTTTGTTTTTGAATTTGGAATGTTAATCACGTTCCTAGTAGGTAGCAGCCAAACACAGCTATTACAGAGTAATAGATCAAAGTAATAGATGATTGTGCTCATAAAGAGAATGTATCTTTTGTATAAAATTTAAATATTGTACTACGTCAACTTATGTCTTCAGTCCTTACTCAGGCAGAGTCCCCAAGCTGGGAGGCAGTCTCCTGGAGCTTGTCTAATTCCTCCTAGTCTGCATACTTAACTGGGTATCGAAAGGAGTTTGAGAAGACTTTTTGTCTGCCTTTTTTTTCCCCAGCTTTCCCTAAGTCTGCTGAGTGAATTGTGGTCTGCTGAATGTTTTTCCAAGCATGAGTCCCAAGCTTTCAGTCTTCAGGGCTAGCCCTCAGCTGTTGTAGTCTCTGGAGGAATGGCATTATCCTGGCCTCCTTTGGTGGGGGAGTCAGTCTGAGCAGTGACTCATACAAGAGGGAATCCCTGAAGAATGATCAAATCAATCTTTCAGCCGGGGCGGCAGTGGCTTCCTGCTTTTAGCTTAACCCCTTGCAAGCTGCTGTTCAGCCAAGTGTATGAAACAGAGCAAAACAACTTTGCAGCCCTGTGACTGTGTCTCACACAGGGAAAATGAGGTATCCAGGGGGTGAAGGCATGGCACACTGAAAGGACCAGAGGAGAAAGCACCGTGAGGACCTTCTCTGGAAGGAGAACCCCTCATGGTGAAGTCAGGCAAATGGAGCCCCTTTGAATAAATAATGTGTTCAGAAGTGGACTAAAATTTGCTCAAGATTCCACAGTACCATAAAAAAAGTTCTTACATGTTGATGTGAGGCTTTATTTTGCCAGATTTTAGGCAATATTCTGTTGCTTGCACATCAGACCATATTTTCCAGTGATGAGTAATGGTATAAAATGTCAAAGAAACCTAGTAGTAGTGAAAATGTGAATGTTAAATGTACTTTGAGAGGTGCAATTCAATTCAAATTCTGAATTCTTTTAAATTCAGAATTTCCTTAGACTGGGGAGTCCCACAATGACTTTGATGCTTAAAAATTACACTAATAATTTTTTTTATCTCCTTTCACTTTCTGTCTCTCTTTGTAGGCATATGTTTCTCTTCCTGAGGTTCAAAAGTGCCTTGTGCATGTCATAGTTGTTGAGAGTCTGTTTGTCACCAGAAGAATCAGTACTTTGTAAAATATTGAAAAGTCTGCAACTCCTTACTGGCCAGGTCCCTTGATGTCTGTAGGCTGAGGGTTGCTGTGCAGTAAGGTGTGCATTTTAGTTACAAAAGTAGGTGAAATTAAATTGGTGTTTGTTAGCTATGGCAGGAAGTGTTTGGCTAGGAGTGAAAATGTTTCCTGTTGACATGTGCATCTGCATGGATCATGAGCTGGAATTATAACAAAAGACTGATTTAGTTACTTAAAATTTTAAAACTTTTAATTTTATTTGTAGATTATAAATGTACCAAGCAACAAAAGTCTTGAGGGAAGTTCAGAAAAAGCAGAGATGCTTGAAGAGTGTGTTTTAGGGATTGCGTATCTATCAGCAACCTTTTTTTGATAACTTTCTGCAAACACTCTTTTCAAAGCTTATTTTTTAAGGTAATGAGTTATTAAACACAAAGCAGCACAAAACCCTAACTAACCAAAACAACCAGATGCTGGCTCTTAGTTTATCAGATTATGATCAGTGATCTATAAAACTGTTCACTGCACTGAAAAACTCCTGGTTTTCATCCCTCTGTCCACAAAAGATACCTTGTAACTGATGAAAGAAAGCTCAGTGATGAGACACAAACCCAGTATCCCAAGGGATAATGCACAGGAAAATTATGGGTACATTGTGGTGAATTATGGATTATAGTTCCTGGCATGCTGTAGGATATTTTGGGATAAAAAGAGTGTTTTGGGGATTAGAAAAAGTCTCGTATTGAGATCTGAAATAGTTAATCTACCCTGAAAATCCCTCCTTGCTCAAAAATCTCTCCTTGCTCCTGTAGCTTTTAACACTGGAACTAGCTCAAGTATTTCCAGACTTCACAGATTTGGCCAAGTCTAGACATACTTAAAAGATCAGGTTAAACTGACAAAGTCTTTATAATCAATTTGTGACCTATGGGCAGAAATGGTCATTGGATGTATTATTATTATTAATTATCATAGGGTTGAGTTGCCACTAGTTAAGTCAGAGCTCCAAACCCATTTCTTTTCTTTTGTGCTTAGTGACGAGAACTCAGGGCAAGAGTTTTAAAGAGTGAAAAGGCAGAAATGTAACATCCAACTTCACTATGGGATTAGTTTCTCAAATAACACTGACTTTGATTCTTTGACTCTGGGATATTAATGTTGAGGTCCATTTTGTCCTGGTCAAAGGCTGTGTCTGATCTTTCCTGTAACAAATGCCCCTCCCTGAAGATGCATCACTCTCTTTGATGGACGTTTGTAGTGTTCACATTATCTCTAAGTAACTCCAGACTTAGAGACTTCAGTGGTTTGGAACAACTTGTTAATTACTCAGACTTCAGCAATAATCCTGGCACCTACACAGTTCTGTAACCTAATTGCATAATATCCTCAGCTATTATACCCAAAGTCTTTGACACTCAAAGTTCCTGAAAGATGGTAAAATAAACCATGGGTAAGCAACATTTCCTCCAGGAATTTTTCTTTTTGAATAATCTCAAACAATTAGGAAACTTTTCAGATTTAGTTATTGCTTCAAATTCTTCATTCTGCTGTTGTTTTTATTTTATTAAATGGATTTTTCTGTCAAAACTGTTCCTCCTCCCTGCTGAGCAGATTTTGCTCTTAGA